TTGTAGGAGCAACTTGTCTGTTAAATTTTAAACTGCTCCAATGACAAGTGATTACGAATGGGAACAGTAGATACCGCTCCTCAATGGGCGCTGGAGCGTTTCTTGGGTGCAGTAGAAAATTCAGAAGCAAATAGGGGCGTTAAGGCAGTCAGTAGGGGCTGTTTTACAATCGGTCGTCTTTGAACAATTTTTAATTTACAAAATTTAATACATCTGTTTGCTACAGGAACAAAGACCGTCAAATTGAAGAGGCCCAGGAAGCCCACGACGAAGACCTGAAAGCCTACAAGCAAAAAGTGAAACACTTGCAGTATGAACATCAAGCTGATTTGACTGACACGAAGTCAGAAGCCCTTGTGGCACTCCAAAACGCTCAGGATGATCACACCCAGCAGGAGCGTGAAATCCTTAGGGACAAAGCAGAATTAAAGAGGATGTTTCGTGAACACGAGGGAATACACGATGAACAAATAAAAAACTTAAAACTGGTCAGTATTGCCATGAATTTCTTATTCCTTTACAGTAAATCGAATGGATTTCCATCAAAATTTTATGAATAACGGTTAATTTGTTGTTAATATATGTGCAAAAATAAATAAATGAACAAAAGAAAAAGAAGAAGAAAAAGAAGAACAAGGAAATGCGAAAAATTAACTGTCACACGATAAAAATTAAACAACCGAACTACGATAAAAACTCATCAATTGCTACCCCTATCGCTATGCGAAAAGTTAGGTCACGTCGAAGTTTTGACGTTAGGAGTTCCATTGTTTACAATCAGTTAATAATCATTTATTAGACACTAGCTTTTCCCCGCGGCTTCGCTCGCAGAAATTAATATTGTTTCTCCGTAAAACCTTTTAACTCTAAATTTACCCTTACGTTTTAATTTTATGTAATGTCGCCATCTTAGATTTCAAATACAAATGTAGCAACAACATTTCATCCTTAAGGGTTGATTTTTAAAAACTGCAATACACGTATTTGCTTAATTTCAACAATGAGCAACCTTCGAGTAAATCCGAGTACAAATAAAATATACACCATGAAAACGTTGCAACCTATTTTCATTTGATTAATAATATCAAACAGTATATTTACCAAATTTCAAGTAAATTCAAATATTTTATCTTTCCATGTCAGTTGCGTTTTCTTATACCACGATTTCTTTTTCCACGGGAACGGGAAAGTCCTATGTCTTTCTCCTGGTTGTAAGCTACCTCTCCACCAATTTTCAGCCAAATCGGTTCAGCCGTTCTTGAGTTATAAATGGTGTAACTAACACGACTTTCTTTTATATGTATAGATAGATTAAGGCTATTGTTTGTAGATCGATTTGGTTTCATTTGACGTGAGATTTAATTAGAAATAATAACTAGTCACCCTGCTATATGATTTTAAGCTTAAGACAACATGAGTTTTGTAAAATTGACATTGTAAAACCGCAAGTAGATAATCCCACATAATTCAAAACGTTTTGGGTTTCATGATAATATTATAAGTTTGTAGGAAATGAAATTTTTTATGTAATGTAGAAAAAATTTTCATGCAGAGAAAAATTCCAAAATGAGCGCCATGCAGAGACAATTGCTACATTTCTTCTGCTTGGTTACGTGTCTATTAGGTAGAGATAGCTAAGCCGACATTAGGGATTTAGTTTGACAAATCGATATCCTTATAGATCTTGTTGAACACCAAATCAAAATTTCATTTTTACAAGTCTCAAAGCGTCTTGGGAATATTTAAAATTTTACGTTTACTAATCGGAGCCAGCACATGATCCAGAACATTCAATGCATTATAAAGTTGACAGATTTGGAAATCAAAAATAATTTTCGTGATATAAACAATACAGAGAAAAGAAGACTTGCAATTGTTCCATAATTCCTTTATTTAATAACTGAATAAATGTTTGTATGGTTTAATGAACTTTAAGAATAAAATGTTTAGTTGTGATAGTTATTCTTCTATACAGTACACCAATTATAAATGAAGATTTTATTATAAAGGGTATTGAGTTTAATTGTTTATTTATTCAATTTACGCATTTCTTTTCATAGCAACACAGCGAAGAAATTCACAAAATCCGGGAAGAATTTAATATCAAAGCCAAGGAATTGGAAAATAAATATGAAAAGAAGTTTCAAGAACTGCGTGAGGAATTGCAGATAAAACACAGGTTAGTGTGATTCAGTCTAACGGGTGCAAAAACAAATTTTATCAGTCAAGTTATTTTACGTTAACAACCTTGTTTGATAAACATGATATGATTCTGTATTTGCACAGGTAACTGTGTAAATGTTTTTGTAAAATAATTCATGTGCAAATACAAGAAATCTTTTTGTATACACACTGCAATGATTCAGGATTAACCCAGTGTTGAAAAAAATACAAATAGGTACGAATAATTACCTTCTGAATAAATATGAAATTAGTAGGTATTCCAAATTGAGTTGAAATGTATGAAATGTAACCAGTGATGACTAATTTTAATTGATGATATCCACCAACAGATTTACAGCACAGTTAAATTTTTCTTACTATGTTTCGTCTGTCGCACTGTTCTACTGTTAAATAGTTTAGCCTAAGATTGTTCAATTCTGGTTCGAAATTGGCAACCAATATTGGACCAAACATGGCAAATGTCTGGTTCATCATTTCGGCTCAAGCCTGGTTGGCAAGCTTGGTCCACGACTGGACAGTCAATGCTGGACCAAGACTTGGTGAATATTCCTGACTAAAGCTTGGGCAGCCAATACTCGGCCAGGACGATGAACATATATTATTAGTTCAAAATTGGGCAGGCAGCCAATATTGGGTGAAGGCTTGATAAACATATATTAGTCCAAAATTGGACAGGCAGCCAATTTTGGGTCAAGACTTGATGAACATATATTAGCCCAAAATTGGGTAGCCAATATTGGGTCAAGAATTGGTGAGCAATATTAACCCAAGATTGGACAGCTAATATTATGTCAAGACTTCATGAGTAAAATTGATCTAAGATTGGGTAACCATCATGGTTGGCTACCCATCTTGGCCAATATTTCGTTGCCTAGTATTCAATATAGCTTGGCTAAACGTCCCGAAATAAAAATGTTCAGTCTCTCAGAGTCTCTGAAAGCGAGACTCGAGTTTCCGTCTCTCATCGAGTCTCTCTGGTGTCGCTGAGAGAGACTGTCGAAGACTGTCAGAAAAACTGTTTAATGTCTCTGAAATAGAGACTCGAGTCGCTCATAGAGATCCTCTTTTCGTATCCAGTCTATGAACGAGAGACTCGAATCTCTGACTGAGAGACTCGAATCTCTGAATTAACAATTTTATCGTTGGAGTCTCTCATACAGAGACTGTGAGAGATCCATAAAAACACCTGGGCAGTAACTGAGAGACTGTGAAAGACTGTGAGAGACGCTCTCAGAAACGCTGAAAGACTCTGAAAGACTCTGAGAGACTGGAGAGAGACTGAAAATTTTTGTGTGTGGGTTTATATGTATATCTGGCCCTGACACTCAATCGAACCTTGATCCATTATTAACAAATCTATACTTGACTGTCCAGTATGGGATGAAACTTGTCAAAAATTTAATAAACCTGGTCTTGGCATGTGAAGATTGCCCGAATTTTGGACCAGTATTGACAAGTCAATGCTTCACTGTCCCAGTATTGGGCCAAATTTGACGGAACGTTAATGTACTGATACTTGGCATTTGAAGATTGACCGAACTTTGAACCAATATTGGCTTCCACTACTGGTCCAGGTTCAAGTTCGGTATTTCCTACATTGGTGGGTATCTTTAAGGGCTCCGATTGAAGACTAGTCGACTTATCAATAGGTAGCTTACGGTTAATTTTTCAATTATTTTGCAAAATACCGCAATATATAAAAAGTTGAGCCCCCTCAATTTTTTATTTTTTGCAAATGTTCAATTTTTACCTGAGAGATTGACAAGTTTTCCATCTTCACTGGAGCGGTTGATGAACACCATAGATATTTACAGGTGTAGGTACTTTAGGTTACATATGTTACCGGAAATGTATGAAATCTAGGAATTGTATACGATTCCTAGGAAATGTATATCATTCCGAGGCTATTTTGGAAATGTATAAAATATTGTTTCAAAGATATTTTTAATTCACACATATCCTGGAAAGTGTATACATTTCCTAGGAATTGAATGAAATTCGGATATTGTACTAGGAAATGTATAAAACTAATCTTTTCTGTGAATAAAACGAATAAAACACGTTAGTAAACTGAGAATCAGAGTTATCTATTTTTACGCGGTTGTAGTGCTATCACCTGATGTATATGCATTGATAACGTCGCCACATTATTCTAAAATCCAACATATCATATCTGTCATAAATCTCTCTAACCAAACAATGACGTCACCAATGGATATAGGTACATCTTCAAACAGCCTGTCGTATTATTGCCTATTTAGTATTACCTGTAATACATTTCCGATTGCTATTTAGGAAATGTATAGATTTCCTAGGAAATGTGTCTAATATAATTTATTTCAGACTTTTCCGGGCGATTTTAGGAATTATATATATTGAAACTTGTGTGGGCGTTTCTACGGCCACTTCGGTGACCTTCCGTGGGTGATGTCCGACAAACGATTCAATCCCTAGTAATTTCTTGCAAAAAAACTACTAATTATCTGCATCAATGCAGGTCGGCTCGTCAACACCAGTGATTGTGACTTTTACATTTATTTATTAAGAAAAATTCACAAACAATATCACTTGCCACTTAGCACTTCATCACGTTTTTATTGGACCGTACCAAATTACTGTAATTAAAACTGAGATGTACCAAAAAGAAGACTTGAGGCGCTAAATGGGCGCCCTTATATAGGCACGTGTGCCATTTTGGCCCACGTAACAAATCGCGTCATACGTTCCGACGGGCAGACGGAATTGCTCAGGCACAATACGATGCCAACATCGTAACATCTCCCTCCTTGACTCTTGGCCGGTATGGAACATTCGGTTAAGAGTCAGACCAGGTTGGCTCCGGCGTGCCCGTTGGACACCACACTCACACCCTCATTCGTCATATGAAGTGGCAAGTGTAATAGATCTAATATACTATTACAAAAATACTGATTATTACTAACATATTAGTTTAACTCAGAAAATAGTTCAATATTATAATACTTAACACTACTCAGGTCACCATAGTAACTTGACTTATTAACTCAAATTGAATCAGACTTATTGTTTTTTTTTTTTCAATAAACAAAAAACAATGCTAAATAAAAGATACGAATGACAAAAATGACAATAATCAATAAATGTTTCAGAGGGTGACTTTCCACTCTGTGCTAGTCAAGTAACCATATTTGTGGTTTTATTAGCGATATGATAACCAAAATAAGAATACGTCAAATAGAATACACAGCACTACACCAAAATAATCACTCCATGCTGGTTTGTCTCGTGGGCTGGTGGTTCCCGCGGACGTTAAGCTGATAGGATGTTGTAGCCCCCTAATACCGCTTCAGACAGCTTGTCTCGACGCAGACACTCTGAGCAGGAGTCGTTGATAAAAGGGTGCTGAGTCATACATTTGGCACGTCTGGTAGGAGTGTCCCGGTTGTTTGCATTTAAGACACCCTGGTTCAGGTAACACGGTTAGCCTGGATTCAATTGTTTAGGTGGCGAAGTAAACCATTACTTGATCCCATTTGTCTTTGCTCAAAATGCTCTTGAGCGATCTGACATATTTAAGCTCGTCATCGCCCATAGTGATGACGCCGATAACAGGAATATCCTGACAGGTAATGACTGGTCTGCTTGGATGGTTTGTCTGGTTTGGCTCTGGTACTGCCAATATCAAATTAGGTTCGTGGAAGACTGATACTTTGCTGTGTGATCTTTCGCCACTGAATCTCAATTCCAGTTTTGGAGTAACCGGTATCTCCTGGCCGAGGTAGACAGCTGGGTGGTTGAATGCTGGGTTGTCCCAGTACATTTTGTGGTGACCAATCGCAGACTGGAGGCGAATGCTCCTCAGAAGTTTGGCTGCGTCGGGGTGCTCGGTCGAAGCTCCACTGGTTCCCAAATTCGTCGAACTGTAGTAGTACTCGATTAGGCAAATATACAAATAAATACATATCTAATTATTATTTAGTTACAGCTCTATTCGATCTACGCGGTATTTTCAAATCGGCAATACTAAACGTGCCTATAGTTTTCTGATTTTTATCGCAAACCTGGACGAGACTATTAGATTTAAAACTGTGTACATAAAATGGGCCTCTTCTGGCCGGTGCTAGCTTACCAGCAAATCCAATTGATTTTTTGCTAAGTTGGTGATTTTTTATAAATACCTCTGCACCTACTTTCAAGTCAATATTTG